ATGCGGGACATGGTGCCGGCGACGTTGAAGACAAGGGGGCCCAGGCGGTCTAGCTTGACGGTCGTGCCGTCGCCGGAGACGTCGAGGGCTGCCGTGGGGTCTCCGGGGGCGGGGAGCGCGCGGCTACTGGCGTTTGGCGACGCAGAGGACGGCGTTTCCGGCGACGAGGACGACGAGTAGAAGGTGGGCGAGGGGCCGGTGGTGTTGGCTGCGGACATGGTTTGTGTGAGGTGGATACTTCTGGTTCTCGGCCCGAGGCGAGAGAGCAAGAGCATGTTCCGGCGGCGTGGTGTCGGTGCGTGTCTTGTTGGCGATGTGAGATTTTGTGAGTCTGGCGGCGGTGAAATTGCAAGGGGAGCCCTGATTGTTGTGGTGTTGACGGTGAAATTTTCGCGTCATGGTGAGGTTGGGGGACGGGCTCCACTGGGCTCTCGGTGAACGGCTGACCGTGGCCTCCTCGTCTTCAGCGACTGCTCCGCTTGCTGCTGGGCATCAGTCCCTTCAATTGGTATATTTCAATTTTGACATTCACGGGGTTTCTGAGCTACATGACCTTTTTGGCTCCGACTAGCCGCTGAATCCGGAGGGCGCGTCACTCGGTAGTACAAAGGACTCGCGGTGTGCATAGCCGGGTTGCCTGTCCGCGCCTGCTGAGCCGGCGCCCAGTAAGACTCGTCGCCCGCCGCGCGGGACGTTGCGCAGCGTGCAACACGGTGGGGGGGACAAGAAGCCTTTGGGTAGCACGACGGCATGTCGATGCCGATTTCGCAGGCAGGCACTCGAGGCCTTTGTAGGGACTGAATGCCTGTGGTACCGTTTCACAGGACAGACGGCCGACCTCGAGAAGAAACAGGCCGACTGCCCTTTTTGCACCGGCGACGCATTGGCCATGTCACTATGCAACCGTAGGACCTTGGCCAATGGCCAGAGCAGCGGTATTGTATTTTGAGCGAGCGAGGAACGGGTGACGCTCACGGTTCTTGTCACGGTCCTCCCCTTTGCCCCGTGCATCACATGCCAGGGTACGAAAGGAATAGATTTAAATAAAGGGCCTAATCTACCAAGTAAGCAGAAATCTAGAACGACTATTCAACGGATAATTTGGTCGTAAAATATAATAAGGGGTATTACTTTATATTTTCTTATTAGCGGCTTTTTTTTTTACTTTCTTTTTAGACTTGTAATAACGTTAAAGTTGTAAAATTAATACGTAATATAAAGATTAAAATCTTATAATTTTATTTTAATCACTTATCAAGACAAGTTAAATACTCTTATTTTATTTTATTCTTTTTAAATGTTTTATGCGTCAAGTTAAAAATTCCAGTTCCCTGCCGACTTCGTGCATCAGGCCCCAACACAGGATTCAATGCGGAACTGGCCAGTGTAATGGTAGCTTGAAACAAAGCTTTCTCTAGGTCGGGAGATTGACGAAATGGGCAGATACTCGGAACGACTATTAACCGTTGACGCTCTTTTGTTGCGGGGAAAATCCCACGCCGAATAAAACAAGACGAGAAATTCAATGTCCCTGGATCAGGCGAGTGTGACAAGGGCTCAGTGAGGGCTTAGACTCAATAGCTTATATAGAAGCGGTGAGAGCCTTATGCCCTAGATCTTGTGATCGTAGCCCTCGTATAACCGTGTAACAGCGAGACAGGGCGCGATAGAACAAAGACAAACAAAAGCTAGTGGCAAGACGAGACCCGTATGTGAGGAAAGGCTGAGCCAAAACTGGCGGACACTCATCAGATGGAAGATCTAGGGCTTTAGTCTAAGCTGCCTTTGTAACCTCTAAACTCTCCTTTTGAACGGCTCCCTTGATTCACGTCGCACTAGACGTTGCTCGTCGCAACAACGACAATATCAGCCTGCCTCTCATGGTATTCATGGAACACAACGGGCGTCATGACTCGACAATGCGCAGAGTGCTTTCATAGCTACTCTATTTGCAAAATCCAACAAAGGCGGTTTTAGTTTTGTTCAATCCGTCGCCCCTGGCACATTCTACCTGCGCCGGCCAGCAAAGGCCAAAAGTCCAACAGTCACTATGGACGGACAAATTCCAACTCCCGATCAAGCCAAGCCAAGTGGCAATGATGGTGTGATTCTAGATCTCGACACTCTATACACTCTGGTTGATGCTTATTCTAACCCAAATCTAGCGCCCAGTTTTGAGGAGCTCTCCAAGGCTCTGGCTCAGATCAAGCGCAAGCGAGATGAGCAGTCGGGCCTCGACACGAATACGCTCTAGCCAACGCTCATGGTGTGTAGATTGGAAAACTATTGACCGATACATGAATGATTACGAGTCGAAAGGTCCTCTCTTCAGGCTTTTCGAGACTGGTCGCACCTTGGCTTCGACATTCGGCAACCCTTGATTCTATCGATGGGATGCGCCGCAACGTGAGAACCAGGCTGCGATATCCAAAGCGGCATGCAAGGCTGTAAAAGACTACAAAAGAATGAAGAAAGCTGGGGTGATCCAAACTCCGAAGGAGGAGCATGAAGCAAAAGTCGAGGCATATAGCCTTATGGCTGCGGCATTGAATGCATCTGATGCCAATGGCAAGGTCGGCTGTCTATACCTTTGGGATATTCATGCTAACGCGATACAGGGCTTGGGCCCTGCCGGGGTTGTTATCGCGACTGTTGTTAGCTAGTATCGATTTGAACAGTGGCCTTTCTCATGTTGGCAATGCTAGTACTACAGGGCAAAGTCGGTCTGGCTCTTGGCTTCTTCCAAGTTCCTGTAGTTGAGAAAGCGCTGACTGGGGTTAGGGTTATGCAAGTCCCCACAGAGCTCGAGGTGGTGGTCTGTGGATCACGGATTATAGTGGGAAAGGGGACATGGGCACAGGGGACAGGGGCACTCATGATGTCGTATCCAACGTGTAAATACCTGCAACTTGGATGCACGCAAATGGGGTCGACGACACCGCTTCTTTGGGCAACGGGCAACGCTGCTGAACCTTCAAGTGATTCAAGCGTTTGACATGTTTGAAACCTCACCGAGTCAACGCGTGCGAGATGAGAGACATGATACCTGAGTGACGTCTGACGTGCCGAGTTCCGGGCAAGTGTCGCAGGAATCACGCTACAGCCACAATGCTGCTGCTCACCTTGGACGTCAACATTGAATGGTTCAAATGCTGTCGGGATTTCTCGTTCCATACGCCGCATCCAAGAATTGCCTCGATGTCCAGCTGGCCGCCCGTGGCCGTCTCCGAAACCAAAAACAATGCAAGTAGCTTGTAGCAAAGAGGCAATTGTGCCCCCAAATTGTGCCCTCGAGTGCTCCCCCGCCCGCAAACAACACTCCGGACGAGTGACGAGGCCATTCGGGGCCATTCGGTGCACGACTCGACCAGACTCCAAAGTCCACATATAACTGCCCCCGAGCTCTCCACTTGTTACTCCCAAGCTAGCTCTCCTTTGCTATCCCCAATTCCCACCTCGACCCTTTCCTCCTCCTCTATTATTCCATAGTCTTCTTTTTTCTCTCCCAGGCGAAGCTGTCTGTCTGTGCCGATTCACTCTACTCAAAGCAGGACAGCATGTTTGGCGGGCGCAAGTTCTCGTTCAACCGCCACACTGGCGCTCCCAAGCCCAGAGCTCGTCGGTTCAGCAACGCCGAGCCTGGCGCAAATGGTAAGCCTGACGCAGTTCCCTGAACCCAACCATCTTCTCTTATTATCCTGCGCTTCTTCTGTCTGTTGTGTCGTGGCAAGAAAAAAAAAAAAGAATTGGGCGCAGCCGGTGTGAGCTTCTTGAGCGCCCCCGCAATTCCGCGCCTTCGTTCGCTCTCAGCAGACTCTCTCTTTTTTTTTTCTTCTTTTTTTTATTTCTCTCCACGACTGCATCTCTGGACGACAAGGAAGCAGAACAGAAGCACACAGGCATAGCAACTCGCTGACTCCTTCTCAGAGGTCCAATCAAAAGTCCACCGTCAGTTCCGCAACGCCCACGAAGGCCATCTCCCCCACGCTGGTCTCGACGCCAGCAGAGCGTCCACTGGTGTCATCTGGTGCACCGAGCGCGCCGCCGAGCTTGGCTTCTTCGAAGACCCCGACTCCTGGGCGAACCTGGGTCAGGGAGCCCCCGAGGTCGAAGATGACATTGCCGGCTGCTTCAAGCGTCCCGAGACCATTGACATTTCTGTCGCCGCCAGAGAGTACGGCCCTACCGCCGGCATTCGACCCCTGAGAGAGGCCGTTGCCAAGCTGTACAATGAGATGCACCGCAAGGGCAAGGACAGCCAGTACACGTGGGAGAATGTGGCCATTGTGCCTGGCGGTCGTGCGGGCTTGATTCGAATTGCCGCCGTCTTGGGCAATTCCTATCTGAGCTTCTTCTTGCCCGATTACACGGCTTACAACGAAATGTTGAGCTTGTTCAAGAATGTGCGTTGGCCGACACGGGGAAATGCATTCTTTGTTGCAGCCACCAGGCACGAGAAAAGCTAACCGTCGGGCCAAACAGTTTGCAGCCATCCCCGTCCCTCTGTCGGAGGAAGACGGCTACCACATCCACCCGGACAAGATTGCAGAGGAAATTGCCCGCGGCACCTCGGTGATTCTCACCTCAAATCCACGAAACCCTACCGGCCGTGTCGTTGCCAACCCCGAGCTGGCCGAGATCCAGGACATTTGCCGCGGCCGCGCCACTCTGATCAGCGATGAGTTTTACTCGGGCTACAACTACACGAGCAACTGCGACGGAACTACCATTTCTGCCGCCGAGAACGTGGAGGATGTCGATGAGGACGATGTCCTGATTATCGACGGTCTTACTAAGCGATTCCGATTACCAGGGTGGCGGATTGCGTGGATTCTGGGACCCAAGGGTATGATGCAAGATTCCGCTTTTTGTCGCCGGTGCGGCCTGGAAAACCTATGGAAGCTAACCATGATTTCTAGAATACATCTCCGCGTATGTGACTTGACAGGGATGCATGGTGGAATTGGTCAGACTAACACGGCTGTAGCATTGGCTCCTGCGGCAGTTATCTGGACGGCGGTGCGTGCCACGCCTTCCAGGACGCCGCCATCCCCATGCTGGAACCAACGCTTGTGCAGAATGAAATGGTCCATTTGCAGCGCCACTTCCGTGTACGTGCCCCAACTTTGTCGTGCCGTTCTGGGGGTGGGGAAGGCCGGGAATCTCTGACATTTTACCTGACAGGACAAGCGAGATTACGTTGTCCGCCGCCTGCGCGAGATGGGCTTTGTCATTAAATACGTCCCAGACTCTACCTTTTACCTGTATGTTTATGCGTTGCCTGTCCGCTCCTTTTAGCACCAGATTGGAAGCCGGCGAAACTGACGGAAAGCTAGGTGGCTCAACCTCGACGGCCTCCCCGAAAGCATCGCCGACGGCCTCAACTTCTTCCAAGCCTGTCTGGAGGAAAAGGTCATTGTTGTGCCCGGCATCTTCTTCGATCTCAACCCCTCGCGACGCCGTGACCTGTTTGACAGCCCGTGCCACCACTTTGTGCGTTTCTCGTACGGCCCAAGAATGGACGTGCTGCGCATGGGGTTGGATGGCATCGAGAGAGTTGTTTCCAAGTAAGTGCCTCCCTGGGATTTTCTTCTTCTTCTTTTTTTTTTGATATGCATTATTCCTAATAGTTTTGCTTTCAGACACAAAAAGGCTGCGGAGTAGTGGGTGGGCGAGTAGTGAACGAGGGAGGCACGAGTATCATGATGAATGATGACGAATGTTGACAAGAAGAAAAGAAGAGTGTCGAGTAGAGCTGGATAACTGGGCGTCGCCCTGCTGGGAGGCCTGGGCCTTTTACCTGCTGCTACTTGGAGAAACTGCCCGATGCTCGTGGCAAACAAGGAGCAATTCAAGATTGGCACACAATCAAGAACCAAGCGCTTGGGTGGCGCTGGTCAGAAAAGGCGGCGCGTTTTACAAGCACTCACAAAGGCACTGTGCATTGAAATAAGGAACCAGTTAAAGTAACAGTGCTGTTCTTGACAATTCCATGACAATTTTCTCTTTTTGTTTTCCACTTATTGTGTGTGTGCAAATGAGGCCCTCTGATGCGGGATCCAGGCAGCCAGTGTTTTGGAGGTGTAAAATCAAAAAAATAAAGACGGTAAAAAAAAATGATATGAAATAAAATGAAATGGAATGCCGCGTTCTACCGGTTTCAAAGTCGTAGCCGCAAGTAACCCGTTATATGGCTTTCATGGGCTGTCCACCTTCTTTCCATGTGCCTGTTGTAGCAATATCCCTTTGAGTGTGCGCAGGTGCCATTTTGGTAACGACCAAGGATGTTAACCAATTAAAGACATGACATTAAAAGATACTTAAGTCACCTAAGAATATACATGGTAAATAAAGTGCCTTATATACTAGAAGTTACAAGCATATAAGTGGTTACCCTATTATAAACGATGTACTTAGTAAGTACTAGAGAAAAGTGGAGTATATACATAACAGGCGCCTGCGCACACTCAAAGGGATACACATCAGAGCGAGAGTGGCCGTGTACTACGGCCATCCACAGCGGTGGATAGGGCTGGCCGCTCACGTCAAGTTTGGCGCCAGCATCTGTCATAGGTCTGCCAGCTGCACTACCAAAAGTGGAGAACTCTCCTGGTAGTGCATGCTCGCTATTGTACCTCATATGGTGCCTCAACAGCATCGATTAGCGAGGTCCGCGCGGGAACTGGCTGCCGTCAGAGGTGACGAGCCATCCGCAGGCTGCATAGACAACAGCCACGTCCAACGGGAGCCATGAAGCCACCCTGAACCAGCCTTCATGACGGGTACTTGGATTCTGAACAATGGATGCAATGTTGGTAGACTCCACAATGTATTCTGGCTTGGATACGGTTACGCAACGCCCTTTGGTCGCCCGTGGCATAGCGGGCCTAGGCTTTATAAATAGCTGAATGCCAAGTCCACCGCGTACAGACTGGGTGATGACCACTTCCGAACTGGGCCGGATGTGGCCATGTGAGTTAGGTAGGCAGGCTCAACCCGCATCCAAACGTCAACTGGTAGGCCTGGACAATGCACTCCTTTGCTACAGAGTTGAAAAAAATCCGCTTTCTCAGGTTTCTTCACATCCGGCTTGGGTTCAAGGACCAGTGATGGCATTGCTGGTGGGTGGATGCACACAGACGGCGGAACATGCGTCGACAGTTTGTTGCTAAAGGAATGAAGTCGTTTGTAGGAAGCATTGAAACCCAACCCGAGCCAACCCTACGTACACGGCCGACTTTGGACTCTCGGTCA